TGCATACTCATGTCTATGTAGATAACAGATTAATTATATTTATATCCTAATATCTGTTTATCAATTGGACAAGCTATTAGGAAAATCAATATATGGTTGACATTTTGGATTAATTATAACACATCTTACAACCACATTTTAACATTACAAATCTAGATAGGCTTTGACCATCATAGTTAGTTTAGATCACAAATAAAACTGTCTAAGCTTTAATTTTTGCATGTAGTTTTTATTTTGTAGTTTACAATCTTAGTATATTTTAGTATATAATATATTAATATATATAACTAAAATTATTAATAAAAATATGGGCAAGGTCTCACCTTAATATTAAAAAAAAACTAGTAGAGTTTAAGGCATATATAAAAAATTTAATATATCTATATAAGTATATCATTAAGTCAAAGCATGCTTATTATATTTATAGGCATATTTATTTAAGATAATATAATCAAAATCTATTACTAGTTAATTATAATATAATATATATTAACTTTGATTTTTTTTATATATATTAAACTAGACTCTTTTGGAGCTGAAGCTTTTTATTCAGTAATTAAAATATAAAGACTCATAGTCAAGGTCTTGAAGGAGCCATCTAGCTATATATATACTTTTGGTATCTAATTTAAGTAATCTGCTAATAGTTAATACTAGCTGCTATATTTGCAACTCAACTAAAGGCATTATCTATTTAAACTCTCTGTATTGCAATCCTTACTATATCATTAAATCATCTCTAATATATATGTTAGTTAAGAAAATCTAGATGCTTATTTATACTCTTAGAATCCTATATCTTATTTCATACAATATATTTTTAAAAGTATTGTTACTAAAGCTTTTTGTGATTTATATATAGCTAATCTATTTTTATATAATATGCTATAGTTACCTAATACTTGCAGTTAGGACTAATATTAAACTGCTACATTACATTATTTTTATTCTTGTAAAGTTTATCCAAATTCTGATATCTATCTTTTTAATTTTTTTTCATTATCTTTTACTAATTACAACTTAGAACTAACAGACTTTTTAGGCTTCTAATTCAGATAACCCAATATAATATATCTTAGTATTCTTTTTCTTAGATAATTCTAAAGAGCTGGTTGGTCATGTGCTTTTCTAGATATCTTTGTTATCTGGTTTATTTGTCTATTTATATAAAAATGTTTTATAAGCTTTTATCAATTTAACAATACTGTTAAAAGTTTATACTATCTCTTTATTTGAGAATTTCTAAACAAAATTCTATCTTCTTAGTTTCTTAGTTTTCTGTACCTGGTGGTCTTATTATAGGTTTGCATTAAAGTCTTATGCAATATCAGTTATTAACAATCCTCTATGTATATGTAATGTTACACTTTATATAGATGTTCTAAGATCTTAATGATGTGTAAGATCTGATTTAATGTATCTGGATTACAACTGCATAAGACCAACTGATCAATAAGAGAAAGTTTCTGTAATACAGATTAATTTTCAAATTTCATTATAAGTAAGATTTGAACCTTAGATCTGCTATTTAAAAGATAACAACTTAACTACTACACTAGAATTACCATCCTTATATATTAATTTTAATTAGTTAATTGTTAAATATATAGTTATATATACATTGCATATAATAACTAACTTTAAGCAAATTGTTTACTATAAAACAAATTGTTAAAAAATATGAGTATATATATAAATTTTAAAACTACACTTTATATTCTATAATATAATTTGAAAGAAGCTTAAATAATTTAGAAGTTAGCAACAAAATATACTTTGTCTTATAAGTTAAAATAATTTAATATATAAAAAAGAGTTAATATTTTTAGAAAATAATTAGTAACCTAAAAGACTTTACTTAAAAGTAAATATTTTACTATTAATTATTATAAGATTTATACATAAATATTAAACACCATAAAGAGACAATTGAAATGTACTAAAAAAATGAAAGATATAAATTTTATTTAATAATAACTTTTATTACTGTTTAATTAAATAAATCTTAATATTTTTTGTTTTATATATTAGATTGATAGAAATTAATTTGTTAGATACTAGTTTTTTTGTATAAATTTAAGTGTTTAGTATGTTTAATATTTTATTTGTTTTATTGTTAAATTGATACTCTTAAGTTATAGTAGTTAGATTAGTATAATTTTTAAATTTGTTTGGTACTGTAGTGTAGTGTATTTGCATTTGTAAACTATAAATTAAAAAACTAGTTGATTCTTTATTAATTTATAAACTTTTTTATAAAGTTTTTTTATTTCTAATAATATTAAAAAATTATATAATTTGATTAGTTAATTATCATATATACTGTAATTACAAGTAAATTTACAAAAATTAACCAATCATATGACATTTTCTTAAGTATGAGTATGCTTTTTGACTATATATCATTCCTATGTGCATGCTCCTGTGTCTTAAACCCTACAGACCAGACACAGATTCTCTCTTTGCAAAATTTCATAATGGTAATGAACATCCTGACGTGTTAGTCGACTCTTTACCATGTATGTTGTCGTTGATGATTTTTTTACGCGACTTACAATTATAATTACAAATTGAAAGACTTATTTTGGCTTAACTTTTTTTTCAAGACATTGATCAAGAAATTGATTATGAAGGTAATCTAACCTAACGTTTAGATCATTCGTTTAGATCATTCATTAGATCAAGGATTTATCACTATGAAAATATATACTGAATCGGTTTATTATTTTACAAAGGAATGCGAGCAAAAGTTGATAAACTTGTTAAACAAGAAATGAGAAAATGACCTTCTCAATCAAAGCGAGATTACGCTTTACATTTTCTTTCTAATTTCGAATTATTTAAAGTAAGTTTCGCGATATGTTTTTATTATTTTAAATCACATTTATTAATATGTTAGTAAATTTTCAATTAATTAGGAATCACCTATACTCGCAACAGAATATCAACGTGTTCAACAAGGAAAGCCAATATAAATTGATCGAACCTAAAAATAAAGAAGATAAAGAAGCATGGAAGAAAACAGATGATAATTCAAATGCTTAGCTATATCATCAAAATCTTCGGTATTTACTTCAACTCACTGCCCGCTTGTTAATTATGAAGGCTACACTTAACAATATTGTGCTAGGTTTTTTTAATCTAGAATTACTTCAAAAATTTGGGAAAACTTCATAATTATCAATTAGAACATGAGTTACAACAGTTTCAAAGAACCTCAGAAGGATATCACCAGAATATATTAGAGTTGAACAAACAGAGAAAAGCCGAACAGGTAATTAAGTTACAAGAATAATCAATAGGGTTGGCATACTTTAATAATTTCATGATTATTTATAGATTCGAGCAGGAAGTCATATTGAAGCATTAGAAAATAAATGGACTGAATCAATTGGTCAAACACTTCATTAGAAGTAGCTTGTGCTTCATTAGAAAACGAAATACAACAATTAAAACAGTTTGAACAACAACCAAGAATCAACAGATAATGATAATTCAGTAGTAAATTCATTGATCATTTGATTTGTTTAATAGTGACCGATCATAAAAAAAAGAGCATAATCGATCATGCCTGACACTATGCATCACACATATTACAGTATTATATTTGCTACAATACGCACATTTTTCACAATTCGAATCTCTAATTGTATTAGTATTTATTTCGTGATTCATAGATTTAAATGCAAATAACATTTATGCACAGGTTAATTAACGCGAATAAAATGAACATTAAATAATTTTAATAAATTTCAAAGTTTAAAATACAAAATCAAATAATTCCGTCACTTAAAATTAACACCTGCACCTGTCTAAAATCAGCACTTGCTGTGTTACAAATTTTAGATTTTTTTTTAATACGCGTAGATTTAACGCGGTTGCAGATCTCAAAACAATAGATATAAACACCCAACCTTTTTTACACTTTTTTTATTTTCGTTTTTTACTTTCACTTTTTACTTTCGTTTTTTACATTTATTTTTACTTTTTTTTTGCTTCACTTTTTACTTTCACTTTTTTTTTGCTTCCGCTTTTTACTTTTATTTTTTTTTTGTTTCGCTTTTTTGCTTTAATATTTTTTTAATTATTTTTCAAATAAACATTACATATCTAGATACAAATTTATTTTTACGTTGTAGATATTGTTTAAGCCTATGGTGAGTATGGAGTATTTGATCTCAAGTTATTTATAACATAACTCTGGGTATCGCTCCTAGGCTTCTAGGTTACTCATGGCGGTAGTATACCCCAGTTAGACGAAACACACGGACCGCCGTTATAAAAGTTTGTCCACTGGGAATACTCTAGTTAGGGTGTTAGGTATTTTTTTAAAATATCGAAATGCCCTTCCGTTACTTAGCCAGGTCGACATGTCATACCCGGAGGTCGAATAAGGCACTGGTCATTTCAAATACTCACTCTCAATTTTTTTTTTTTTAGAAATCGATTTATTTGATAGTTAAATAATAACAAGATTTTTATATAAAGTTTAGTTTTTAAATAAATTGTTTGGTTAAAATATTTTTATTTTATAATGTTTGCAAACTTGTAATTATTATTCAAATAAACTTGTAACTTATGTATATATTTTAATAAAGTAACAATGATTTAAAAAATTAAAACATATAAGTTTACACTAATGCAGTAATGTTACTTGATAAAATCGATTAGTTGGTTAGTTGACAACTAATCGGTTGAACTTTTTAGACATCAATTAATCGATTAAGGTGTGACAATATAAAAAATCGCCAATTATATGGGTAGACATTATCAATTCGGTTTGATTTATATAAGCCGTACTTTACAGAAACTTGGATTTCTTACTGTATAGTAACTGCATAGTAACTGTATAGTAACTATATATATAGTTATTATTAAACTTAATATATAGTTACTATATAGTTACTATATATGTAGTTACTGCACATTAAGATATTCAGATTTCTGTATAGTATATAGGTATTGATATAAATATCGTTTATTATTGAGAACGAATAATGTCAATGCACCGTAGGAATTCCTTTGTTACATTCGATAGAGTGTAAAAACTTTGTGCTAAAGAATAATAGAAGTAACTTTAATCGAGAATGATTTTTCTTTTCATGAAGATTTTTAAAATAATTAATGTTTTGAGACGTTAATCTTTTTTTTGGAACGGCCATTAGTGCCAAATTGGCTAAATAAGTTGATGGTTCTACGTAGTAAATCAATTCTACATCAAAGCCATTTCTTGTAAAATTTGAGACGACCGTAATCTAGTATACGTTTACATTTATAACCTAAAGTTTTGACGAATGATCTAGACCTGAATAATGCATTTCATAATTAGAATCATTTAATATTTAAACATTACAGTTATTTTATTATTTGCTTACTTATCATCGTCCGTTTCTTCTGAATTATCATAAACATGATCATCATCATCATCACTAATTTTGTCATGATATTTGGGTCTTTGCCCACAAATAGCTCAACTACGCATAGTACATATTCTCTGGAAATCATCTTTGTAATTTCAATATTTTCAAGATATTGATGGTTCGGATACGTATGGTACTGACAGCTGATGACAACACGGTGCAATAATTATTCCAGTAATAGGGATCCTGTAGAAATTTAGATAATGATGAATACAGTAGGATCTTAGTTACAACTAAAGCATTAATTATTATTAAGAAATTGACACTTATCGTCTTACATAGAGATCCACAAAGATGCTTGGAATATGTTATAATTTTTTTATCCTTGACAAAATCAAGTTGTGATAAATCTAAATCCTTAATATCAATTCCAATACGTAGCACAAGCGATTCCTTGTTTGTTGATGATTTATCTTCTCTGATCCCTGTATCAAACTAAAAGTGTTTCCCAATTTGCTTTAATATCTAAACCGTTATCTTTTAAATGAATCTTTGGTAAGATATATCATATCATACCTTATCATGTGTATTTTTTCTATCAATGAAAAGGAAGCGAACCCCATCGTCTTATCTTTGATAGCAAATTTTGTGAATATGATAATCCATCTTGATAAAACAGATTCAATACAGTATATAAGAAAAGTAGACTAATGATTATTTAATAAAGATCGTCAATGAGTGATTGTTTATATGCTCACCTTTACCACAACTGAATTTAATAAAACATCCATCTGGCTGTAATAATTTCAGCCTTTCCATATGAAGCCTTTTTAAAACGAAATATAATCAGTACTGAAAAAAAATAAAATATATGACCATTTTTTACATTAATTAATTTTACCTGTTGAATAATATGCTTACTATTTGTTATGATTTCTCTAGAAAATGCATATGTAAAGTATTATTAGTATCGCAATATATATATATATACAGTATATATTCGTTCATGTATCAGAAATTCTTACTTTTTTTCTTTAAAAATCCAATACCAAACTCAAATTTGTAGGAACAAACTTTTGAAACCAATAATTTACATTATTAATCAGCGAATCTAAAATTTCTTTAGATAACTCTGAAAGTGTGACTTTTTCTTCCTCAGCAAACTTAGATGGAGAGGATTAACATCGAGAAATAAGGTGGATTCGGTCGTGGACGTGAATTGCATTTTTGTGCAAGATGTTTTTCGAGTTCGTCTTTGTACACCGTGCTAATAATTAAAAAAAAACTATTACATATTATTTTTAAGATACTGACTGAGATTTATCATATGGACATGAAATACGCTCTCTTGTAGTTAGATTTGGATCACTTACTAAATCCTTCGCACAGTAATTGTTGCCAATTTTTGTGGGAAAATGGCAGTACCGTCTTCATAAATGTCACCAATATGCTAATATCAGAATCATAGACATAATATACATAAATCGTTCATTAAGTTCATTAACCTGCCTTTTACGCTTTACCCGGAAATGACATTGACGTGGCTGACCGAAAGTAGAAAAGGATAAGGTTATAAATACAAATATTAAAAACATCGTCTTTGTGCATTACGTTATCCGGAGATGACGGTAATGCCACCGCTCCTTTTTTAAACGTTTCGATTTTTGTTCTTTTGGCATCTAGTTTACGAGCAAATTAATTATCGTTATCGGTAATAAGAATGCACATCACTAGATAATACCTATCGATAGATGTCAACGTTAATTTTAACTCCCTTTATAATAATCACTGTAAAGAATGCCAAAGAGAAACTTCTCTCCCAAGGCGAATCGTCGACTTTGGCGAGTCCTGATCAATCATTTTCAGATTTAGAAGTTATAGATCAGCGTTATTTTACTTCTCGACACGTGCTTTAAATATGCCTCCGCGAGCGTGAAAATCCAGAATTTACTCCCACTTGGGTTATTGAGTTACCACATACAACCACTTCAAATTTCTAACAAACACCAATAAAATAGAAGCAGCACTGTATTTGAAATTCGAAAAACACGAAGTAGAACATTTCGGCTCTTTACATACAGAAGTCGAAGAATTAATGTAGTCTGCTGGTGGGTTTGGCTTTTTTGTGCGCGTAGCGTATTTCAAAATTACAATAAGGAGTGGTGATATTGGTGTTTCTAATCGTTTGAGAGATATTTAGCTGGTTTATCAAGTGTGCATATTTCCTTACAGAAGTATATGATGGTATTTTGAGCTGGACTACTGGTTATGCTGCAGTGGTAACTAACACTTGTTGCTACGTTGGGACTACAAAAAAGATCACGACAATGTTTGTAATATAATCTAAAATACTAACTGACCAATTTTCTTTACAGCAATCGCTTAAACTACCTGATACTGTCTATAAGTTTCAAATGCCCGTTTGTGATGATGAATCGATTCAGATAAACTTCCTCTGGTGTGCTTAATTCCTTCGGCTGAAGGTTCAAAACCGGGGCTATTGGCATGCACTCCTAAAGGGGAGTTTCGTTATTGGGAAGATATATATTATGCTATGACAGAAGCTGAACGTTACAAAGGATTGAAACTGTATCTTCAAGAAGATGATCAAGGAATATATCTAGCATGCCACGAAGTAAGTTAATATATATTATTTTTCATGTATTTAATAATCCATTTAAATCACCTTGGCTTAATTATCGATCTATTAGACAAAAAAGGATCATCTCGAGAAAATTGTGTAATAATATTTGGTACATAACATGTTGCACTGTATCGAATTAATGTTTGCCAACCGGATGGAAAACCAACCCTTATTTCTTCTTCAATATCTCGCCCTGGAGGATTTATCGGGCAATTAAGTTTGTATCTTTGACAAAGTGGAAACTTGATGATGGTGGAATTGTATCAACAACTTTAGGCGCCAAATTGGGTAAAAACTACTTCAGGTACTAGAAAATATTTATATTATATTGTTTATACGCGTCTACTCTTATTAATTATGAACATGCAAATTCAATGTGAATAGTGAGTTATTTGTCTTGTTGGAAAAATCATTAGAAACATGGGTTCTCTCTGGAACACGTATTGCGCCAAAAGTAAAGATACAAGTCATAATCAGATTTAAATTTGTTTTATGCATTAACGATCATTCATTGGTTGTAATGGGAAGAAAACAAGGCAAAGGTGTATGAAGACCAAAGTGAAGCAGAAGAGAATGATGGAAACATAATCCATTTAATGATATGAGACCTACCAACAAATATAAACAAAAAAGAGCTAGAATATATCTGTAGAAAATTCAAGAAAACTCATATAGTAAAAATTAAAAATTTAAATACAAAGTCTTAGCAGTAATGCAGGTAGAAAAAACAAATAAAAGAAGTATTTCATAGATTATACCAGTCAATAACAATAAACTGGTATGAGTAACAATAAAGAAAGAAGATCATAAGACAAGAGAAGATCAGAGAAAATATTGACAGAGTTACTTGAAAATGTCTTGGAAGTTTTATTTCTATAATGTTTAAGAAATAAAGAAATGAAGTCAGTTTATATCTTATCAAATAGAAATAGAAATCAAAAAAGAACAGTCATAGTAATGTTTGTAACTAAGAAAAATATAAAGACAGCTTGGTCAAAACCAATTATGTTTAATAATTTTTGATTATATTAGATAAATATAAAAAAAAAAAAAACAAAGAAAAAAGAAAGCATAGTAGATAAAAGAGGAAGAAATTAGAACAGATTTAGTCAAACTTTAGATATAGAAGATAACAGAAACATAAAGAAAAAACAAGAAAATAGAACATATACAAACAAAGCTTGAAAAAGAAAAGATTTCAAAATTATGAATTAGAAAATAGAAAAAAAATATAATACTTATAACTAGAAGTTAGAAGATCAAACAAGATATAAGCAAAAGAAAAAAATATATATAGAAGACATGTTAGGCTGAATTTAAGAAAGACTGAAAAAATTAGAAAAGACAAAAAAAATTAGTTAAAGCAATAGAAATAGACAAGAAGCTTGAAGAATTTCTGCAAAAAAAAAAAGAAATATTTGAAGAAAAAACAGTATTTTCTTGTTTAGAAAAAGAAAAAAACAAAAAAAAAAGTAAAAAAAAGAACATATAAAAACAAAATAAATTAAATTAAAAGAAGAATAGAAAAAAAGAAAGAAAGAGATAAAAATAATATGTTATAATATTAACAGGTTAAAAACCAAAAATTGGAAACTCAAAAATCTGGTTAGTTGAGTAAAAAAAAAAGTTACAATATTGAAAGTTATAAAAACAAACTTTACAAAAATAGAAGAGAAATGTCTAACTTACAAGACAACAAAAAAGTATATTGAATATTGAAACAATGCAGCAGAAGACAAGAAAAAAGGATCTGATATAAGAATTCTAGTAGAAAAACATTGGAAAAAGCATATAGGTGCAGTCAAAAGAATAAATGAATATATGATAGAAATTACATTATACTTTAAGCAATTAAAACTAATAGTAATAGGAGTTTATATACTACTAAGTTCACTAGAATGGCCTTCAAAATTATGGGTTATGTGAGTAGATACCACTATTGCAGTTATATGTAAATGAATCAGATTGTATCTGCAATAAAATAAGGTAAATACAGATATTATAATAAATGTATTTTGATGAATTAAACATATTATAAGAAAACTATCTTCTTTGTTAACTTTATTCACTAAGTAAACTTGTTTAAAATACCATCTTTTACTTATTCTCAAATTTTGATACAATACAAATAACCTTTTGTTAATAGTTTTTTTTATTTTACATTTTTGTACAACAAATTTCTTGGCATATCTGCTTCAAAGAGTACTCAAATCTCTGGCAATTATTATAAATGACTATATAAAGATTTAACTTTTAAAGATGTCTTATCAAGTTCATAAATATTTACTTTGCAAAACCAAGTTCATTAGTGTTAAAAATCTAATAATTAATGTTGTAAAATCTAGATATAAACAAATCTAAGCTATAAAAATTTGAAGAGCTTTTTCACAAACTAACTTAAAAGCAACAACTAACAGGTATGTTATAAGTTAATTCTTGTATTTAGAAAAAATTTCTTAAATTCAAATAAGGTTTAATTAAAAATTCTTAAATATTTATAATAGTAAAAGCTAATTATATAATAGTATTTGATGAATTTAGTTATAAAAAAATAATATATTTAAAATTTATCTGTATTAAAACTAATTTAATACTTATTTTGTTTGGCATTAATCATATAGGTGTTATTAAAAAAATTTTTGGCATTTGGCTTTTAATTATATTTTGTATCAGATATAATTACTAATAAATCAAATAGATTAAGTCTATTACAAAATATAATTAAAAACTCAATAATAAATTTTCTTTTGATAGCATCTATATAATTTTCTAAAAATAGCTTATAGATAATTAAGTAGTAAAACAAGAAAATTGATAATTGTATCAAAGAATTTTAGCTTAAAGCAACAAAATATATCTTTTTAATAGTTGTTTAATCTTTAACAAATTGGTTAGATAGCATGTGAAAAATAACAAGTTGAAATTACATACAATTATATTTATAATTACTCAAAATTTATTTAATTTTTAATATTCATTAGATTTTTTAGTTATTAAAATCACAAGAAATTAAGCTATTTCTAGATTTTAAGAAAATTTTACAATCTTAAAGTAAATATAAATATTACTAAATAAATATATAATTGTTAGATACATCTGATTTTTTTATTTTTGCTTGTGAAACTGATTTCAGCTATTTCTGATGCTCTGTTATACACAACTTTCTTTTTTTCTATATTTTGCCTAGTTTGAATATTGGGATATCATTTAAATTGAATACTGGATTGTAGTTTATATCAGTTAAGGAATAAGTCACATCTGTTAATTTTTTTTTTGGTATTAAGGTAAGGCCTTGCTTATATCTTTATTAATAATTTTAGTTATATATATTAATATACTATATACTAAGATATACTAAGATTGTAAACTATAAAATAAAAACTATATACAAGAATTAAAACTTAGACAGTTTTATCTGCAACCTAAACCAACTATGGTAGTCAAAGCCTATCTAGATTTGTAATCTTAAAATATGGTTGTAAGATATGCTATGATTAATCCAAAATGTCGATCATATATTAATTTTCCTAATAGCTTGTTCAATTGGTAGACAGATATTAGGATGTAAATATAATTGATCT